TAAACACTGCTTTGAGCCTCCGTACCTAAGAAACTCATTTAGTACAGAATATGATTGAATATTTACTTACATGTCAATTCACACAGGATTAATATAATAAGAGGTTACTTTTATGGCTCGTTTAATAGAAGGTAAAAGGTGCCAGAATCTCTAAAAAGGACTGGCGTGGCACATTCGGACGGGAATAAAATTGCTGAGAAATGCCAGTAAAATTTACATTACCCACCTCCTTGTGTAAAGATAATCCCATCCGAATAGTGACTAAAGCCCTGTTCAAACTAGATTGGTATAATCTAGGGAGCCACTTTAGTGATTTGAGTGATTATCGACAAGATTTGTGATTTTAATCCACTACGAATCTGTCATGTCCATAGTTTTGACAAGTCTGCTAACTAATAAATCCAGAGTGAATTATCCATTATTTGCTGAACTCTCAGCTCCCTCAGTAACAGCAGCTCTGTTTGAATTGACACCACTGGGCTGGGCGATATGGCAAAAATACAACATCACGATACACAATATATCACAATATTTTTTTTCTGGCATCTGTTAAGTTGGAAAGGACAAAAAAGAACCAGCACTGCCACAAAAAAACAACTCATAACGGTGGAAAAATATATATATAAAACACTTACACAAAGTACAATGTAATCCCTGTGATAATGCAATTTTTTCTTTCAGGTCCACTTATAACTTTGGTACATAAAAACCACAAAACAACAACAATAACTCAATAATTAAACTTGCTATTTTTTGCTGTACCTTTAAGACTGATATACGTAAATGAGCTCTGCTCTGATTGCCCTGTTCTGCACCTCAGTCTAAAAGCAGTCAGGGCTGAAACACTACTTATAACTTCAGCGTGAATGGGCGGGGCTAAACTGCATTATGGTGAATAGGCAGATATGTAAATGAGTTGGTTTCTGTGACATCACTACAATAACGAACTCAAAACAAGCAGCTTGATTTCCATATATGGACTGAACGGTATGTTTTTAAACATTAAAAGACTTAAAAATTCCAAACTGCATCACTTTTCCATGATCTGGGCCTTTTAATCTCTATAACACAAGCAGATTTCACACCTGCTCAAGTACTTGGCAGACGAGAGTGATCAGATGCATAAACGAGGCCACTGTGGAAAAGACCGATCGAGTTACACACTGCCACACCACCAAAGGCCCACAGGAATAATTACGGGACGAGCGGACTCGAGAGAAAACACCGAGCTGGGAATTCTTCCCAGTATCCCCAACGGAACCCAGATGGCAGGGAATCTATGCAGGAATGTTGCGGAATTTGCACCGCCTGTCACATGAAACCGAGTCACCTCACGCTGCCTTAATAAACGTGTTGGTGACGGACACGCGGCTGGAAAATAACCGAGACTCATAAGGGAAATATAGGCCAAGCAGGAAGAATGACAGCTCATCCTCAGGCACAGCGCACATCTCAGTCGCTACTGTCAAGGTTTCACGTCAGCGGGGAAAGACCAGCTCTCTCCAGCAAAAGACTGAAAACCGGTAAAAATAGACCTTTCAATCATCTCAACCGCGCAGCTCCTCATGGCCTCAAAATGTTCGGGATGGGTGTTTTTTCTGGAAGCTTCTTCAAAGTGGTTCCTCTCTGCCTCTATGACTTTACGTACACTTAACGCACACTGGTATCCCAGAGACTGACTGTTTTTGGATAATACACTAACATAAATATATCCATGCAATGAATTCCAGGTCTGAGCCAATTTTCTCTACAGGAAAAATTATTTGTGTTTTTGAAAATCACTGCAATTATCTTGTGGTAAACTAAAACGTTCCAAAGCCAATAGGAGGGGAGCATACCTGCTACCTTTGCAAGGTCATATGTTCCAAGGGCCTTATGTTCTCAATGCCACATGCTCCCAAGGTCCTCTATTCTCAAGGTTCTATGATTCCACGTCCCCATGTTCCCAGGGCCCTATAATCCCAAGGTTCTACGTTTCCAGGTCCCCAGGTCCCAGGGTCATACGTTTCCAGGGCGATATATTCCCAAGGCCCTACATTTCCAAGGCTCTACATTCGTAGGGCCCTATGTTATTAAGGTCATATACTCCCAAGGTCCTCTGGTTCTCAAGGTTCTATGATTCTAGGTCCCCATGTTCCAAGGGTCATACATTCCCAGGGCCCTATATTCCCAAGGTTCTACATTTCCAAAGTCCTACATTCGCAAGGCCCTACGTTCCCAAGGCACTACATTCACAGGGCCCTATGTTATTAATGTCATATACTCCCAAGGTGGTTCTCAAGGTTCTATGATTCTAGCCCTCCAAGTTCCCAGGTTCAACATTCCCAAGGCCCTCTATTCCCAACGTCATATGCTCCCAAGGTTCTATGATTCCTGATCCTCACGTTCCCAGGGTCATATGTTCCCAGGACCATACATTTCCGAGGTCAGATATTTTCACCATTCTACGTTCCCAAGGCCAAGGGAACCAATGAACCAATCAAGGGAACCAATGAAAGGGTTCCCAAGGTCATGGATAACACCACAGGGCCATCCAATGTCATACAGGGACCAATCAGGAGCAGATTTTTTCCCAATAAGAACGCACTTTGCCCTCAGCTAACCTAGCCTCAGTACTAAGTTAAGCAAACTTTGCAATTTAAACCATTTTCAAGTATGTCAAGAATGTCGAATACAAACTTTGTGAATAATTTCTTTGTCTGTGGTGAAGTGAGAATGACAAAAAAACACCTTCAAAAGGTCCATTATAAGTTAGATACATTAGCACCAAACTCATCTTGGTTGATTTACTGCATTTACTGTGGTTAAACTGAAATTGTGTAGATTTAATTGTTTTTTTAAGGTGCTGGAAAAGACATTTTCACATAGTTTCTTTCCATCTTTAGCTTTACTGGTTTTTATTTATATGACTTATTTTTTGTGCCCCTGTATAAAACAACAACAACAACAACAACAACAATAATAATAATAATAATAATAATAACAATAATAATCAGTCTGTGTTTAAACTCCAGCATTAAACTACTTCAGCCTATTAAAGCCTTGATATATAAGCATAAGGTTGCTTAATATGTAGTATTTGCAGACAGGAAAACAGGACAAGTAGCAATTACATAACCAGAACAGCCAAGCAGTGACAAAAACAGGCCTTAACAATCCTTATGAGAAAGAATTATAGGCCTTGTGTTACTAAAGGAACTGTCTACAGGATTATACTAGCGTAAACTCGCACAACTACTATTGTTTACTATGGGATCCTAGATTACTGTAAGGCATTACTACAGAAATATCACAGAGGTAAACATGAACACTACTACTAGGTAATATTGAGGTTTCTTATTGTATTGCTACAGTTTGTTGTCATAAGGCAACACTAAAACGTTCACTTGGGCTGTGACTTCCAGTCCAAAAGAGTGAAAAGAGTGGAACAGATCCCTTGTGTAGGCCTTGGCGAGCTTATTTTAGCCTCAGTACAAGAACATTCAGAGCTTTGGTGTGGAGAACATCTGAGCAGCAGGTGAGTGAACTGTACTCCCTGCTGGGTCATTCTACAGAAACGTCCATTTTTGTGTCCCTAGCGTTTACAGATATATTACAACTTGAAAAACACATTAGGGTTACAATTTATTCATATTTTAAAATAAAACTTATTTTTAAAGTTATTTTAACATTTACACCTTCTTGAGCCTCAATTTAGCAATATTGGTTTTTAAATCAATCATATAGAATTCCAAGCACCACAGAAGAGCTCGTCCTCACAGTCATGTGTGAAGGCTGAGGCCATATTTTGAAATAAAAAAACATGTTTTTCTGCAATTTTAACTACAATAATCTATACATGACTATGGAATATATGTTTTAAATGACATAAAGAAAACAAATGGCAAATAAATATTATAAAATATATAATGAAAGTTGTCCCCAGGAGTCGTGTCACTGGTGTTACTGGCGTAACAAAAAATCTCTTATTTCGAAATAAAAGTCACACTGATGACATCACTCGACTTCCTTTTACCTGTTTTCTGAGGATCTATGAAGAAAAGCTCATGGTGAGTCCACTGTGTCTTTCAGTTATCAGAGATTTTCTCATTTAGCTCATGATTTCATATTAAGCTTTTAGCTGAAGTCACTGGTGTGACCGACTTTATTCTGAGGTAATTATGAAAAAACAGAACACAAATGGATTAAATTACATATTTTAGTGGATATTCCATGATTGACAACATGTGGTTTGATGCTCTGTAGCCGCTGTTCTGTAAAATGCGTTTTTATTTAAAATGTCTCTGGTGTTACCTTTAGTATGTGTAACACCAATGACGACCAGTAACACCAGCGACTCCTATGGAGAGATAGAAAAGTGGACGTTTCTGTAGAACGACCCATAGAACCCATTGTGTTTCTGTTGGTTCCTAACGTGTTTAGGCCTTTGTAATGGGTTAATCACTATGTAAAGAACCCTAATGGTTTAACAGGTGAACAACGGCTGATTCTAAATGCATTTGATGGCTTTCCAATGGGATCTAAAGGTGTTCTACAGGAAACTAGAGGTCTCTGACTGAAACCATTAAGCCCATTTTCATTAAAAAAGCAAAACCATTAGTTTCTGATGGTCATTTTTCAGCAGGGCTGAACTGAAAGGAGACGTCAGTGCGTTTATATCTGTATCTCCCTGTCAGGTGACCCAAACGGTTTTCTTTCTCTTATTTATGTAAGTCTATCTGCTTCACTTCAGTGTCAAACGAACCAAACTGACCAATTCGTCACGTATGTAGACTAAATTAGCCGCTTTACAGCCACTTTATGACCGTCATAAATCACTATTATCACCATTATCACAGCAAAACAAACTGAGCCGCCATAAAAACACCGGAAGACCTTGGTTTCACTCAGAACAGCCACATTAGCGCCATTTTGTGAAACGCCACGATCGTCACGAGGAACTTTTCTAATAAATAAATAAATAAATGAGCGGGAAAGACGTCAGCGGCGCCCGGACTCACCCAGACCGAGGAGCAGGCAGCAGAACCAGAAGCCGTTTCCCAGAGAAAGTCTCCATCGTCCTCTCAGGTCCATAGTAAAGTCCGAGTGCAGAATTCCTGAGCTGACCCGAGTCAAACTGTCATGTTGGCGGCGAATCTGCGCATGTGCACTGCCTACCTGTCAACCAGGTGTTGTAAGTGCGGAGGTGGGCGGAGCCAAAGTACGCAGGGGGGTGTTATGGCTGTGTTCCCATTAGCTCTGGTAGCTGATACAGGTGGTCTTTTCCCAGGGGGGGGGCCTTTGTGTATGTGTATTTTTCCTTCTCTTCAATATATATATATATATATATATATATATATATATATATATATATATATATATATATTTATATATAAATATTAGATTGAAGAGAAGGAAAAATACATATGTGTGTGTTAAATAAGTCTCTTTTTTTCTACTTTTAATGAAAATTTTACTTTTAACCACATTACATTAACACATATTCAAGTGCATCTTGGGCAACATTTGCAAGCATTATTATTATTATTCTGTCTAATACTATTACTAAAACTATTACTACCGCTAATAAAAGCTACATAATCACATAATTACTGTTATGATTATTATTATAATAATGGTTACTTCTGTTAGTCTTAATCGTGTGAATACATCAAGTACTAAACAAATATTTTAGAGTGCAATAAAATAAATAAACTGACTTTAACCAGTAGAATAATATGGGACTCTTATTGTGACAGCACTGGAGTTCCTGCTGCATCTTGTTTAAATTGAAAACTTAACATTTATGATTGGGCAGAGGGTCTTGCCTGGTGGGCTTGAAACACAGTCAACAATATAATGATGGGTTAAATGAAGCCATTTTCAACAACATTTGTGGAAACAAAACGGTTAAAAACCCTGTTTTTTCCTCCCTGCTGAATAAAACAAAAACCAGCATCAGCCAGCATGAATTCTGTGCTGGTCTAAACTGGTTTGAGCTATTTTATGCTAGTCTGGTTAAGCTGGACACCCAGCATGGTCATGCTGGTTGACCAGCATACCAACATCCAAATCCCATGCTGGTTTTGCTAGCTGGGATTACCTGGTTTTTGCTAGCATTTTCAGACCAGGCCACGAAAAGCTAGCAGTGATTGTCTAGCTCAACTTAGCACAGCTAGCACTGTGTTAGCTTGGCAGAAGTTCCTTCAGAACTTGGATCGCCCAACTTTACGCCCCCGTTTCCCACCAAATCAGACGGACAGTGCGCTAGTAAGAACCGGCTGGTGTAAATCCACCCAGCGAATCAGCAAACAGAACGTTTTTAACTGACTGCTGAACATGTTTTGGCTAATTTTGCTTATTTGAATCGTTTCTGGCTTATAATATCCAGCCTGAGGGGCTAGGGTTGAACGTTAGCCAGCTGGCTAATGCTAGCACATTTCCCTTTGGCTTGATTAATGTGCATTGTCACTGATGTATGAATAAATAAATAAAAATGCATAAATAAATAAACTTCTGGCTGGTCTCTCTCACTGCGGCCTCATTCCCATCTGCTTATCGGCACGCAGAGGTTTCGAGGACTTTGAGGAGGCTTTTTCTGGTGGAAATGAAGAACGAGTGAAGATGGAAGTGATTCCCTCCTGTATTCTCTCTCTCTCTCTCTCTCTCTCTCTCTCACTCTGTGACAGGAATCTGTTGAAGTGGCGGTCCGTTGGCATGGCAACGGGGATGACTTTGTGTGATTGCCTGTTCTCACCAAAAGGGAGGGAGGGAGTGAAAAGAGAAGAGAGGAAGAGGGGACGGTCTTGTTCTGGAAGAAAATGAACACCGCTCTCCTGAACAAAGCTGGCTTTGAAATGCCAAAAGGAGGAAACTCACTTTCCCCACTTCAAACGCGGGGGGGCATGTCGAGGGCCTGATCAGAAACGACTCTTTAAGGTCCCGTTCTTCGGGTTCAGATGAAACATTGACGTGTTTGGGACTTAATAGGGTCTCAGTGGTCCGAGAACTGTTTGTAACCATAAAGGACTTTAGCTGAGTCTCTCCTAATATACATCGAATGGCCAAAAGTGTGTGGACACCCCTCTTAATCATCGAGTTCAGGTGTTTCAGCCACACCTATTGCTAACAAATCAAGCAGATAGCCTTGCAATCTCCATAGACACTGGCAGTGGAGGGTCGTACTGATGACCTCAGCGACTTTAAACGTGGCACTGTCACAGGATGCCACCTCTGACACAAGTGTAGAAATTTCTGCCCTGCTAGATCTGCCCTAGACAACTGTAAGTACTGTTATTGTGAATTGGATCCATTTCGAAGTAACAACAGCTCAGTCGTATTAAACATATTGAACCTAGATTATTAAACATCAATTATTCTGGGGGGATGTTTTATTGGGGAAATAATTATAATACGTTTTAATGTGAAATATCTGCCCTGCTAGATCTGCCCTAGACAACTGTAGGTACCGTTACTGTGAATTGGAAGCATCTAGAAGCAGCAACAGCTCAGCCATATTAAACATAGATTATTAAACATCGATTGATTTTTTAAAAGATCATCAATGTGTAAAAAATATTCTTGGAGGAGATATTTTTGAGAAAATAATTATAATTTTTTAGAATATGAAATTTTTGTCCTGCTAGATCTGCCCTAGACAACTGTAAGTAATAACTGTGTATTGGAAGTGTCTAGAAGCAACAACAGCTCAGCCCATATTAAACATTGAACCTAGATTATTAAACATCAATTGATTTTTTAAAAGTCAAAAATATGAAGTCAAGGTGTAAAAAACATTCTTGGGGGAGATATTATTGAAGAAATGATAATAATTTGTTATAATGTGGAATTTTCTGCCCTGATCTGCCCTAGACAACTGTAAGTACCAGTATTGTGAATTGGAAGTACCTAGAAGCAACAACAGCTCAGCCATATTAAACATATTAAACTTAGATTATTAAACACCAATTGATATTTTGGAGTCAGAAATATGAAGTTAAGTAGTAAAAATTATACTTTTTATAATTGTCATTTTCCATTACATGCAATTTACAAAAGTATTCAAATTCAGTGAGTTAACTGGAAATTAATAGTTACATAATGAATTCTATTTGCATTTGTACACTAGTTTGAGACTCTTTTCTATTTGTTTTGATGTCAAAAATGAACAAACACAGGATGCAAAACAAGACTCAGCAACGTTTTGTCAAATTTGAATCATAATAAAATATCTCCTCTTCAGCTTATAAACACAAATATGGTATAGATTGAAAGATTAGAATCAGCACTTTCCACACAATTTCTCTGCTTGTTTTAATGAGCCACAAATCCGAAATCGTTTAAATAAAATTACAGCATCACCAGCAACTCAAAGGAGAACTTAAAGGGCCTATATCCTTAATTTTTCTTGCATTTTATTTTTTTTGTCCCTAAGGTCCATTTTTGACATTTTTGTGTTTTTTGAGCTGCAAATCCAGCGACACAAAGTGGGCGGAGTCAGCCACACAACAAAGTTGAGCGGAGTTTAACTTTATACAAATGAGGAGTGAAGCAATGTGGCGATTACCAATAGGAACTGAGCACTGAGCAGCGTAGTACACACTGTAACTCCGCCACTGTGAAACTGTCCTCTCCGTTTTTTGTTTCCTAGATAATTGTTCCTACTAGAGATGGAATAATGGCAGCGCCGCAAATAGTCAGTAATCGCAAAGATCAAATACTGTTTTCTTCACATACTGACTGCACAGACACAGCGATTAAATAAAAATAAACACACAAGCGATTTCTCACCAGGATTTTTACTTTTAGCGGGAACACATCTGATTTGTGCTTGGCGTCACTGAAACCATGGCAACCAAGGGTCAGTTGGAGTTCAGAAACACCCACAGGCGAGTAATGATTAGCAGTTTGCGCAACAAGAAGCGGAAAGTCGCTGCCGATGCGAATTCAGGGTTAGAATTGAACAAGCTGTTTTTGTTACTGTGCCTTTAAGACTAATATGTAAATGAGCTCTGTTTGGCTGGCTGCTTTGTATTGCGCCTCATTAAAAAAGCACTCCAGGCTGAAACACACCTTATAACTTCAGGGTGAATGGGCGGAGCTAAACTCCTTTAGACTGAATAGTTTAGTTCTTATGACGTCACAAAAACATTGAATTCCAAATGGGCTGTTTTTGCAGCTTAGTTTCCATATATATATACTGTACGTGTATAAAATTTAGTTTGGGCCCTTTAATACAGATTCAGCTTTGAACCGCATTTCTACTTTGGCTGATTGAGTCTATTCAATTAGGTTTTTTTTGCATAATTAATTATCAGACGGGATTATGAAAAGCCAGCAAAGCCTCATGCGTTCATAAAAAAATATATCCATTTCAAAAGTGCCGACTGTAGAGCAGAAAACAAATCACAGTGACGGATGGAAGCACACGTGCCGACTCAGCACTCGCACGCTGTGTGCTTCAGAGCTAGCGCACTAATCCGGGGTCAGTGCTTCTGCTGGCAGTGCCGGTTCTGGTCAGCATGTGGTTCAAAATAGAGCTGGTCCAGAAACAGCGGGCCTATTTTCAGATATTTTAGGCCAAGATCTACCAGCCTGAAGAGCTTAAATAAAGTTCTAATATGGAACCGGTCAGAAATCTGGACACAACTCCTCATGGATCTGTAAGACACTTCAGGAAGCGTAGGGTCATGCAGAGCCCCTAAGGTGACGTGGTGAATATTTTTTAATAAAGTGTGGCCACAAATTACTATATTGAGGCCACAAATTAAAATATTGAGGCAGCGATTTACCACATTAAGGCAAAGAATTACTATATTGAGGCCACAAGTTACTATATTAAGGCCACAAATTAATATATCAAGGCCACAAATGAATATACTGTAGTCACAATTTACTATATTGAGGCCACAACTTAATATATTAAGGTCACAAATTAATATATGGTATAATTTGTGGTCTCAGTAGTAAAAAAAAATTACTACTGAGACCACAAATTATTACATTGAAGACACAGTTTACTATATTGAGGCCATGTATTACTATACTGGTGTCACAAGTTACTATATTGAGGACACAAATTAATGTTTGAGGACACAATTTACTATATTGAGGCCTTGAATTACTACATTGAGGCCACAAATTATGATATTGAGGCCTCAATTATGGATTTGAG